TCATCTGGGAGGAATTGGGGTTTGCCAGGAAAAATCTTTATTGTTTTCAATTAAAGCTATCGATGAAATCAGTACATAAACAAGAGGAATCAGTACATAAACAAGAGGAATCAGTACATAAACAAGAGGAATCAGTATATAAACAAGAGGAATCAGTATATAAACAAGAGGAATCAGTACATAAACAAGATGAATCAGTACATAAACAAGAGGAATCAGTATATAAACAAGAGGAATCAGTATATAAACAAGAGGAATCAGTATATAAACAAGAGGAATCAGTATATAAACAAGAGGAATCACTGTATAAACAAGAGGAATCAGTATATAAACAAGAGGAATCAGTACATAAACAAGAGGAATCAGTACATAAACAAGAGGAATCAGTACATAAACAAGAGGAATCAGTATATAAACAAGAGGAATCAGTACATAAACAAGAGGAATCAGTACATAAAATATTATGTTTATTTCGCTTTCCTGTTTTCTTAACCCTATCCTTACGCCCTGGGCTCATTTTGTACCCCCGAGGGTTGTATGCTTCACATTTTAGAATACTTCTAGTGCGAAGATCCCTTTGAAACTTTCAGTATTTCTCAAAAAATAATTTTGACAGACTGCTATGCAAAGCGTACAGATCGGATTGACGAGTAAATTTCGTCTTTGGAAAGTGGTAGCACAGAGTTCCCCACGTCTTAGGGATACGGTAGTAAAACATGACGTACGGATAGGGTTAAACATACCCTAAATCTTGTAAATAGACATCTTCATTAGACATAGGTCAGGCAAAGCTACATTCACAGAGCAGTTTTAGATTGTTAGGGTTAGTATATTACCTGTAAGCACAATGTCAAACTGGTTAATTTTTACTTAATTGATGCAATGTTTTGAATTAGATCTACGTGCAATTTTAACACAGCGGCACACTAATGGCCATTAAGTGCTAGAAAAAAAAGTAAGACTGTTGAACTTGTGATCCAACGATCACTCATATTATGTTTCGGTAATTAGTTGGGGAATTCTCATTTATTGTAATTCCAAAAAAAAGCAGGGTAAATTACTCTCTCTTTCTTCCTCCTTCCTCCCGAACAGCATGACCGTTGTCTGCAAATTTATCTGTACAGTATACAATCGAATTGCGTGTTTTTGTTTCGTACCCTCATCATGGCAAGTCAAACTAGATCTAGTACCCACTCAACAAAGACAAATCAACAGAAACAGGTAAGTGAAAGTAAAGAAGTAGTATCTACCACTGGCTTTTGTTCGAGTAAAAAGAAGCACATTGACATAGTAAAGGTCAGTTACTGTTGAGAAAAGGTTAGACAGAAACATCAGAAGGAAAGTAGAGAAGTAGGACCTACCAACGGTTTTGTTTTGTTTGAAGAAAGAGAAGCACACCGATACAAAAATGGGTTAAAGCTGGCAAAAAGTTAGGCAAATGAACTGAAGCATCAGAGGGAAAGTAAAGAAGTAAGACCTACCAGCGGCTTTTGTTTGAGTAAAGAGAAGCACATCGACTCGATTATGGTTATTTGGTGCTGGGGGGAAAAGACAGACAGA